CTAAGCGGTTCAGTCTTACACAGAGGTGTTTAAATTTCACACTAGACCTTGTTCAGTCTTCACATAGACCCGTGTTCGCTTCACACTAGAGCTTTTTTCAGTCTTCAATAGCCCTTTTTCATCCTCACATAAGGGTGTGTTCAGTCTTTACAAGAGCTGGTTTAGTCTTCCACTAGACTGTGTTCAGTCTTTACATAGACTGTGTTCAGTCCTCACACGAGCTGGTTCGTCTTTAACTAGACCTGTGTTCAGTTTCCCCAACTAAGCTGTGTTCAGTCTTCCATGGCTGTGTTTATCTTACATAGAGCTGTTTATCCTCACACTAGAGCGTGTTCATCTTCACACTGGGGTGTTCAGTCTTCACATAGACTGTGTTCATCTTCACATGAGCTGGTTTTTAGTCTTTACACTAGAGCTGTGTTCAGTCTTTACAAAGCTGCGTTCGCTTCAACCCGGGGGTGTGTTCAGTCCTCAACTAGAGCTGTGTTTTAGTCCTCACACTATGGTGTGTTTCCGTCCTCCACTAGAGTGTGTTCGTCCCCACACTAGAGGGGTGTTCAGTCCTACACTAAGCTGTGTTTAGTCCTTCCCCTAGACTGTGTTCAGTTTCAAATAGATTGCGTTCGTCTTCACACTAGAGCTGTGTTCAGTCCTACACTAGAGGTGTGTTCAGCCTCCACTAGAGCTGTGTTCAGTCCCCCACATAGACTGTGTTCAAATCCTCACACTAGAGGTTGTTTTATCCCCACACTGAGGTGTGTTCAGTCTCTGCAGACTGTGTTCAGCCCACCTTTGAGGGTGTTCAGCCTCGCCCCAAGCTGTGTTGTCACACACGAGCTGTGTTCAGTCCCCACAAGAGGGGTGTTCGTCCCCACACTAGAGCTGTGTTCAGTCCTCCCACAAAAGGTGTGGTCAGTCCTCACACTAGAGCTTGTTCAGTCCTCCACTAGAGGTGTGTTCAGTCCCCACATAGAGCTGTGTTCATCCTCACACTGAGCTGTGTTCAGTCTTCACACTAACTCGTTCAGTCTTCAATAAAACTGTGTTTGTCTTCACACTAGAGCTGCGTTCAGTCTTTACACAGACTGTGTTCGCCCTCAACTAGAGGTGTGTTTGTCCTCACACTTAAGGGGTGTTCGTCCCCACATAGAGCTGTGTTCAGTCTTCACCTAAGCTGCGTTCATTTCCCTAGAGCTGGTTTCAGTCCTACACTAGAGGTTGGGGCATCCTCACACTTTGGGTGTGTTCATCCTACTTAAGGTGTGTTCATTCCTCACACTAAAATGTTTTTCACCCTCACCAGGCTGGTTCAGTCCCCCACATAAGCTGTGTTCAGTCTTCCCTAGTGCGGGTTTGTCTTCACCTAGGCTGGTTCGTCTTCACCTAGAGCTGCGTTCAGTCTTCACACAGAGCTTTTTCAGTTTCACACTAGAGCGTGTTTTGTCCTCAATAGGGGTGTGTTCAGTCCTCACACTAGAGCTGTGTTTAGGGCCCACACAAAGCTGTGTTCGTCTTTAACTGAGCTGCGTTCAGTCTTCAACTAGAGCTGGTTCAGTCTTCACATAGAGGCGTTCAGTCCACACTATCTGTGTTTAGTCTTCACACTAACTGGTTCAAATCTTCACATAGAGCGGTTCAGTCCTCCAATAGATCTGTGTTCGTCCTCAAGCTGAGGTGTGTTTTAGTTTTTCACAAAAAATGTGTTATCCTACACTAGAGGTGTGTTCAGTCTCACATAGAGCTGTGTTCAGTCCTCACACTGACTTTGTTCGTCTTCACCTAAGCTGCGTTTAGTCTTTACACTGAGGTGTGTTCAGGGCCTCACACAAGCTGTGTTTAGTCCTCACACTAGAGTGTGTTCAGTCCTCACACTGAGCTGTTTCCGTCCTCACAAGAGGTGTGTTCAGTCCCCCGTAGGGGGTTCAGTTTCACACTAGAACGTGTTCATTTCCAAATAGAGCTGTGTTCGTCTTCACCCCTAGAGCTGGTTTAGTCTTCACACTGGCTTTCATCCTACTCTAAGCTGTGTTCAGTCTTACATAGAGCTGTGTTCATCCTCACACAGAGCTTTTCAGTCCCCATAGGCTGTGTTCTCTTCACACTAGGCTGTGTTCGGTCTTCACACTAGAGCTGGCAGCTTCACTAGAGCTTGTTCGTCTTTCCTAGAGCTGTGTTCAGTCTTTACACTAGAGCTGTGTTTAGTCTTCACAAGGCTGTGTTTATCTTTACACTGAGCTGTGTTCAGTCTTACACTAGACCCTTTTTCTTTTCCCCACACTGAGCTTTTCAGTTCTGGTTACTGCGGATTATCGTTACTGCGGATTATCGTTACTGCAACTTCTCGTTACTGCGGATTCTCGTTACTGCAACTTCTCGTTACTGCGGATTCTCGTTACAGCACTCTCTCGTTACTGGGGACTCCCTCGTTACAGTGAATTTTATTACTGCAGACTCTCTGGTTACTGCAGACTTTCGCTACGGCAGACTCTCGTTACGGCAGACTCGTTACGGCAGACTCTCGTAACGGCAGACTCTCGTTACGGCAGACTCTCGTTACGGCAGACTCTTCTTACTAGTTACTATCGTCACCGTGGACTCGTTCGGTACATTATACTTCTTCTTAAGGGTATTTAAACTATGTCATTAAGAACTCTGCCTTAAATACTGTCATACTAACATACTGTCATACTAACATACTGTCACACTAACATAGTGTCATACTAACATACTGTCATACTAACATACTGTCATACTAACACACTGTCATACTAACATACTGTCATACTAACACATTGTCATGCTAACATACTGTCATACTAACACACTGTCATACTAACATACTGTCATACTAACATACTGTCATACTAACACACAGTCATACTAACACACTGTCATACTAACACACTGTCATACTAACATACTGTCATACTAACACACTGTCATACTAACATACTGTCATACTAACACACTGTCATACTAACATACTGTCATACTAACACACTGTCATACTAACATACTGTCATACTAACATACTGTCATACTAACACACAGTCATACTAACACACTGTCATACTAACACACTGTCATACTAACATACTGTCATACTAACATACTGTCATATTAACATGCTGTCATACTATCATACTGTCATACTAACACACTGTCATACTAACATACTGTCATACTGTCATACTAACATACTGTCATACTAACACACTGTCATACTAACATCCTGTTATACTAACATACTGTCATACTAACATACTGTCATACTAACATACTGTCATACTAACATACTGTCATACTAACATACTGTCATACTAACATACTGTCACGCTAACATACTGTCATACTAACATACTGTCATACTAACATACTGTCATGCTAACATACTGTCATACTACCATACTGTCATACTAACACACTGTCATACTAACACACTACCATACTAACACACTGTCATACTAACACACTGTCATACAACATACTGTCATACTGTCATACTAACATACTGTCATACTAACACACTACCATACTAACACACTGTCATACTAACATACTGTCATACTAACATACTGTCATACTAACATACTGTCATACTAACACACTACCATACTAACATACTGTCATACTAACATACTGTCATACTAACATACTGTCATACTAACTTTACTGTCATACTAACACACTACCATACTAACATACTGTCATACTAACATACTGTCATACTAACACACTACCATACTAACACACTGTCATACTAACATACTGTCATACTAACATACTGTCATACTAACATACTGTCATACTAACACACTGTCATACTAACATACTGTCATACTGTCATACTAACATACTGTCATACTAACACACTGTCATACTAACACACTGTCATACTAACATACTGTCATACTAACATACTGTCATACTAACACACTGTCATACTAACATACTGTCATACTAACACACTGTCATACTAACACACTGTCATACTAACACACTGTCATACTAACATACTGTCATACTAACATACTGTCATACTAACATACTGTCATACTAACACACTGTCATACTAACACACTGTCATACTAACATACTGTCATGCTAACATGCTGTCATACTAACATACTGTTATACTAACACACTGTCATACTAACATACTGTCATACTAACACACTGTCATACTAATATACTGTCATACTAACATACTGTCATACTAACACACTGTCATACTAACATACTGTCATACTAACATACTGTCATACTAACATACTGTCATACTAACATACTGTCATACTAACATACTGTCATACAAAACATACTGTCATACTAACATACTGTCATACTAACACACTGTCATACTAACTTTACTGTCATACTAAACATACTGTCATACTAATATACTGTCATACTAACACACTGTCATACTAACATACTGTCATACTAACATACTGTCATACTAACATACTGTCATACTAACATACTGTCATACTAACATACTGTCATACTAACATACTGTCATACTAACATACTGTCAAAACTAACACACTGTCATACTAACATACTGTCATACTAATATACTGTCATACTAACACACTGTCATACTAACATACTGTCATACTAACATACTGTCATACTAACATACTGTCATACTAACATACTGTCATACTAACATACTGTCATACTAACACACTGTCATACTAACACACTGTCATACTAATATACTGTTATACTAACACACTGTCATACTAACACACTGTTATACTAACATACTGTTATACTAACATACTGTCATACTAACATACTGTCATACTAACACACTGTCATACTAACATACTGTCATACTAACACACTGTCATACTAACACACTGTCATACTAATATACTGTTATACTAACATACTGTCACGCTAACATACTGTCATACTAACATACTGTTATACTAACACACTGTCATACTAACATACTGTCATACTAACTTACTGCTATGACAATGTTACAGAGCCACCACCAGGGCTGGTCTGGGGGGCTGAGGGAGTGCCTGTCACTGCAGCCTCGGAGGTGAGAACAAATGGCACTGTGGTTAGTACCACCTTGCAGGTGGTGGCATCCAGAGGCACTGCTGGTGCCAACGTCACCTGCTCCACCACCACTAGTGCAATCACCCCCGACGTCAGCCTAGATGTCAGTGCAGCTGACATCAGGCAGACTAACGCCTCTACCTCAGACATCGTCAAATTTGCAACTGCTGCCTCCAGCACGACCTCCAGCACGGCCTCCAGCACGACCTCCAGCACGGCCTCCACCGCCCCAACAATCACCAACACAGTCACCGCTACAATCACAGTCAATCGTAAGTATTCAGCCAATACTATCCACCTCCTGGACACACTGCTGACCTGACCTGACTCTCAACATGACCTGACCTCCATCTGACTCGTCCCTGTGTAGACATTCCGTCTCATTTTTGCTGTCTGCTGAAGAGGACCCCAGTTGGAGGTCGAAATACGCTCCTGTTTACCCAGCAGTAAATAGGTAACTGGGAGTTTGTTGACTGTGGTATGTTGTATCCGAGAGCAGGAGGAGAGGAACCCAGGGAGAGTAAGTCATACTACTTGGCTTTCTTGGGTTAATCTGGGTTAATAAACCAGAGTTAATAATGAGAAGAAAATCTTCTTTTCCTCCTCTTCCTTACTCACTATTTCATAAATTAGTGTGAGTTAAGAGTACTGCCTCTCTGACACTCTCTTATGTTGCAAATTCATCTCTTTCTTCCTTACATCTCTCTCTCTCTCTCTCTCTCTCTCTCTCTCTCTCTCTCTCTGTCTCTCTCTCTCTCTCTTCTCTCTCCCTCTCCTTTTCTCTCTCTCTCTCGCTCCTCTCTCTCTCTCTCTCTCTCTCTCTCCTCTCTCTCTCTCTCTCTCTCTCTCTCTCTCTCTCTCTCTCTCTCCCTCCCTCCTCAAAATACCACATGCTGGCACCTTTGGCACAGTGTCAAACATCTTCGCCAGAGCCACAACTCCAAAGGCAACATTTTTCCAGGATTCCAAAGGTTCTTACCCTCCACTGTTGTCTCCAGTGGTGTTCTCTCACTCCAGCGTCTCTTACCTCCAGTGTGTGTTCTCCAGCATTAACTGCAGCACCTCCCACTGCTGCTGTTTAACACCATCTTCCTTTCCGTTATACTGCATTATTCTTCGCTGCATTTCGACTAATGTTGAGTGCTGTTCTTGCCCTGTGTTTGTTCTCATTACGTTTCGTTGGACTCTTCACACTCTGCTGCTGTTGCTGCTGCTGCTGCTGGTGCTGCTGCTGCTGCTGCTGCTGCTGCTGCTGCTGCTGCTGCTACATCTGCGTGACGTGTGAATGTTAGTGTTTGCATCGCTGAGTTCTCGTTAATTTCCAGGATTTAAGATTTGCTGTAATGTTTACCTTACACACCAAGTGTGTGGAAAATCCCCTGTGTGTATTTACAACTGTATTTACAACCTGGAGAGGTGTGGGCTGGGGATGCTGCTGCTGCAGGAGGAGGAGGACGAGGTGGAGGTCTCTAACTCTGGCCACCATCAGTTGTTTTATGTGAGAAATAGTTTAGAAATCCGACATGTTGAAGAATTAGACACATGTGCAACATTTTGGTAATCTTTGTTGAGGAAACATTTCGCCATCCAGTGGCTTTATCAATACATATTCAAGGACGTAATGGGAAGATAATAGAACTGTATCCAGAAGACGAGGTAATAAGTCCCTCGCCCTTGGAGTTGGTGAAGAGCACCGCACCTTAGTCTTGAAGAATCTTTAAGGCTGAGGGATTGATTACCTCGTCTTTTGTGTATAGTTCTACAGTCTTCACATTATGGCCTTGTACTACATTAATAAAGCCACTAGATTGCGGAACGTCTACAAACTAAGATACCCAAATGTTGCACATGTGTCTAATTCTTACACATTTAGGATGTTCTGAGAGTCAAGAGCGTTCATTGACTGGCGTCTGTGTCAACAGCAGCTGGACCTTCCAGGGATGATGCTGGACCTTCCAGGGATGATGCTGGACCTTCCAGGGATGATGCTGGACCTCTCTGAACAAAAGCGATTACTATCAGAAACAGCAGGGCTTGTATCGTGTGAACATTACTCTCTCCCGTGGCGTGTAAATACCTAAGCGTTCAACCCTGTGGCGTCCTGGCTAGAGGATATCAGGGCTCAGCACTGTGGAGTCCAGGCTAGAGGATATCAGGGCTCAGCACTGTGGAGTCCTGGCTAGAGGATATCAGGGCTCAGCACTGTGGAGTCCAGGCTAGAGGATATCAGGGCTCAGCACTGTGGAGTCCTGGCTAGAGGATATCAGGGCTCAGCACTGTGGAGTCCTGGCTAGAGGATATCAGGGCTCAGCACTGTGGAGTCCTGGCTAGAGGATATCAGGGCTCAGCACTGTGGAGTCCTGGCTAGAGGATATCAGGGCTCAGCACTGTGGAGTCCTGGCTAGAGGATATCAGGGCTCAGCACTGTGGAGTCCTGCCTAGAGGATATTAGGGCTCAGCACTGTGGAGTTCTGGCTAGAGGATATCAGGGCTCAGCACTGTGAAGTCCTGGCTAGAGGATATCAGGGCTCAGCACTGTGGAGTTCTGGCTAGAGGATATCAGGGCTCAGCACTGTGGAGTCCTGCCTAGAGGATATCAGGGCTCAGCACTGTGGAGTTCTGGCTAGAGGATATCAGGGCTCAGCACTGTGGAGTCCTGGCTAGAGGATATCAGGGCTCAGCACTGTGGAGTTCTGGCTAGAGGATATCAGGGCTCAGCACTGTGGAGTCCTGCCTAGAGGATATCAGGGCTCAGCACTGTGGAGTTCTGGCTAGAGGATATCAGGGCTCAGCACTGTGCAGTCCTGGCTAGAGGATATCAACGCTCATACGTGAATAAGCAATGTGAGGCTCGAAATCATGGTGTTATACAATGCAGACGTGTGAACGCCTGGCATTGAAACACTGCAGGTGTCAGATTGGTGTTCTGACACTCTGACATGATAACAGTTATGACTGGTGTTCTGACACACTACAATGATAACAGTTATGACTGGTGTTCTGACACACTACCATGAAAACAGTTATGACTGGTGTTCTGACACACTACCATGATAACAGTTATGACTGGTGTTCTGACACACTACCATGATAACAGTTATGACTGGTGTTCTGACACACTACCATGACAACAGTTATGACTGGTGTTCTGACACACTACCATGATAACAGTTATGACTGGTGTTCTGACACACTACCATGATAACAGTTATGACTGGTGTTCTGACACACTACCATGACAACAGTTATGACTGGTGTTCTGACACACTACCATGATAACAGTTATGACTGGTGTTCTGACACACTACCATGACAACAGTTATGACTGGTGTTCTGACACACTACCATGACAACAGTTATGACTGGTGTTCTGACACACTACCATGATAACAGTTATGACTGGTGTTCTGACACACTACCATGATAACAGTTATGACTGGTGTTCTGACACACTACCATGATAACAGTTATGACTGGTGTTCTGACACACTACCATGACAAACAGTTATGACTGGTGTTCTGACACACTACCATGATAACAGTTATGACTGGTGTTCTGACACACTACCATGACAACAGTTATGACTGGTGTTCTGACACACTACCATGACAACAGTTATGACTGGTGTTCTGACACACTACCATGATAACAGTTATGACTGGTGTTCTGACACACTACCATGACAACAGTTATGACTGGTGTTCTGACACACTACCATGACAACAGTTATGACTGGTGTTCTGACACACTACCATGACAACAGTTATGACGGGTGTTCTGACACACTACCATGACAACAGTTATGACTGGTGTTCTGACACACTACCATGATAACAGTTATGACTGGTGTTCTGACACACTACCATGACAACAGTTATGACTGGTGTTCTGACACACTACCATGATAACAGTTATGATGGTGTTCTGACACACTACCATGATAACAGTTATGACTGGTGTTCTGACACACTACCATGACAACAGTTATGACTGGTGTTCTGACACTACCATGATAACAGTTATGACTGGTGTTCTGACACTACCATGATAACAGTTATGACTGGTGTTCTGACACACTACCATGACAACAGTTATGACTGGTGTTCTGACACACTACCATGATAACAGTTATGACTGGTGTTCTGACACACTACCATGACAACAGTTATGACAGGTGTTCTGACACACTACCATGACAACAGTTATGACTGGTGTTCTGACACACTACCATGATAACAGTTATGACTGGTGTTCTGACACACTACCATGATAACAGTTATGACTGGTGTTCTGACAAACTACCATGATAACAGTTATGACTGGTGTTCTGACACACTACCATGATAACAGTTATGACTGGTGTTCTGACACACTACCATGACAACAGTTATGACTGGTGTTCTGACACACTACCATGATAACAGTTATGATTTGGTGTTCTGACACACTACCATGATAACAGTTATGACTGTGTTCTGACACACTACCATGATAACAGTTATGACTGGTGTTCTGACACACTACCATGATAACAGTTATGACTGGTGTTCTGACACACTACCATGATAACAGTTATGACTGGTGTTCTGACACACTACCATGATAACAGTTATGACTGGTGTTCTGACACACTACCATGATAACAGTTAGGACTGGTGTTCTGACACACTACCATGATAACAGTTATGACTGGTGTTCTGACACACTACCATGACAACAGTTATGACTGGTGTTCTGACACACTACCATGACAACAGTTATGACTGGTGTTTTTGACACACTACCATGATAACAGTTATGACTGGTGTTCTGACACACTACCATGATAACAGTTATGACTGGTGTTCTGACACAGTACCATGATAACAGTTATGACTGGTGTTCTGACACACTACCATGACAACAGTTAAGACTGGTGTTCTGACACACTACCATGACAACAGTTATGACTGGTGTTCTGACACCACTACCATGACAACAGTTATGACTGGTGTTCTGACACACTACCATGACAACAGTTATGACTGGTTCTGACACACTACCATGACAACAGTTATGACTGGTGTTCTGACACACTACCATGACAACAGTTATGACTGGTGTTCTGACACACTACCATGATAACAGTTATGACTGGTGTTCTGACACACTACCATGATAACAGTTATGACTGGTGTTCTGACACACTACCATGACAACAGTTATGACTGGTGTTCTGACACTACCATGATAACAGTTATGACGGGTGTTCTGACACACTACCATGATAACAGTTATGGCTGGTGTTCTGACACACTACCATGATAACAGTTATGACTGGTGTTCTGACACACTACCATGATAAACAGTTATGACTGGTGTTCTGACACACTACCATGAAACAGTTATGACTGGTGTTTCTGACACACTACCATGACAACAGTTATGACTGGTGTTCTGACACACTACCATGATAACAGTTATGACGGGTGTTCTGACACACTACCATGATAACAGTTATGACGGGTGTTCTGACACACTACCATGACAACAGTTATGACTGGTGTTCTGACACACTACCATGACAACAGTTATGACTGGTGTTCTGACACACTACCATGACAACAGTTGTGACTGGTGTTCTGACATACTACCATGACAACAGTTGTGACTGGTGTTCTGACACACTACCATGACAACAGTTAAGACTGGTGTTCTGACACACTACCATGACAACAGTTATGACTGGTGTTCTGACACATACCATGACAACAGTTATGACTGGTGTTCTGACACACTACCATGATAACAGTTATGACTGGTGTTCTGATACACTACCATGATAACAGTTATGACTGGTGTTCTGACACACTACCATGATAACAGTTATGACTGGTGTTCTGACACACTACCATGACAACAGTTAAGACTGGTGTTCTGACACACTACCATGATAACAGTTATGACTGGTGTTCTGACACACTACCATGATAACAGTTATGACTGGTGTTCTGACACACTACCATGATAACAGTTATGACTGGTGTTCTGACACACTACCATGATAACAGTTAGGACTGGTGTTCTGACACACTACCATGATAACAGTTATGACTGGTGTTCTGACACACTACCATGACAACAGTTATGACTGGTGTTCTGACACACTACCATGACAACAGTTATGACTGGTGTTCTGACACACTACCATGATAACAGTTATGACTGGTGTTCTGACACAACTACCATGACAACAGTTATGACTGGTGTTCTGACACACTACCATGACAACAGTTATGACTGGTGTTCTGACACACTACCATGATAACAGTTATGACGGGTGTTCTGACACACTACCATGATAACAGTTATGACGGGTGTTCTGACACACTACCATGACAACAGTTAAGACTGGTGTTCTGACACACTACCATGACAACAGTTATGACTGGTGTTCTGACACACTACCATGACAACAGTTATGACTGGTGTTCTGACACACTACCATGACAACAGTTATGACTGGTGTTCTGACACACTACCATGACAACAGTTATGAGTGGTGTTCTGACACACTACCATGACAACAGTTATGACTGGTGTTCTGACACACTACCATGATAACAGTTATGACTGGTGTTCTGACACACTACCATGATAACAGTTATGACTGGTGTTCTGACACACTACCATGACAACAGTTATGACTGGTGTTCTGACACTACCATGATAACAGTTATGACGGGTGTTCTGACACACTACCATGATAACAGTTATGGCTGGTGTTCTGACACACTACCATGATAACAGTTATGACTGGTGTTCTGACACACTACCATGATAACAGTTATGACTGGTGTTCTGACACACTACCATGACAACAGTTATGACTGGTGTTCTGACACACTACCATGACAACAGTTATGACTGGTGTTCTGACACACTACCATGATAACAGTTATGACGGGTGTTCTGACACACTACCATGATAACAGTTATGACGGGTGTTCTGACACACTACCATGACAACAGTTATGACTGGTGTTCTGACACACTACCATGACAACAGTTATGACTGGTGTTCTGACACACTACCATGACAACAGTTGTGACTGGTGTTCTGACATACTACCATGACAACAGTTGTGACTGGTGTTCTGACACACTACCATGACAACAGTTAAGACTGGTGTTCTGACACACTACCATGACAACAGTTATGACTGGTGTTCTGACACACTACCATGACAACAGTTATGACTGGTGTTCTGACACACTACCATGATAACAGTTATGACTGGTGTTCTGATACACTACCATGATAACAGTTATGACTGGTGTTCTGACACACTACCATGATAACAGTTATGACTGGTGTTCTGACACACTACCATGACAACAGTTAAGACTGGTGTTCTGACACACTACCATGATAACAGTTATGACTGGTGTTCTGACACACTACCATGATAACAGTTATGACTGGTGTTCTGACACACTACCATGACAACAGTTATGACTGGTGTTCTGACACACTACCATGACAACAGTTAAGACTGGTGTTCTGACACACTACCATGATAACAGTTATGACTGGTGTTCTGACACACTACCATGACAACAGTTAAGACTGGTGTTCTGACACACTACCATGATAACAGTTATGACTGGTGTTCTGACACACTACCATGATAACAGTTATGACTGGTGTTCTGACACACTACCATGACAACAGTTAAGACTGGTGTTCTGACACACTACCATGATAACAGTTATGACTGGTGTTCTGACACACTACCATGATAACAGTTATGACTGGTGTTCTGACACACTACCATGATAACAGTTATGACTGGTGTTCTGACACACTACCATGATAACAGTTATGACTGGTGTTCTGACACACTACCATGACAACAGTTATGACTGGTGTTCTGACACACTACCATGATAACAGTTATGACTGGTGTTCTGACACACTACCATGATAACAGTTATGACTGGTGTTCTGACACACTACCATGATAACAGTTATGACTGGTGTTCTGACACACTACCATGATAACAGTTATGACTGGTGTTCTGACACACTACCATGATAACAGTTATGACTGGTGTTCTGACACACTACCATGATAACAGTTATGACTGGTGTTCTGACACACTACCATGATAACAGTTATGACTGGTGTTCTGACACACTACCATGATAACAGTTATGACTGGTGTTCTGACACACTACCATGATAACAGTTATGACTGGTGTTGTGTACACATGCATCGCGTCAGCGGACCTCCCTCGCAGTAAGGCCTCGTGTACACTGAGGTACAACAAGGTTAATGTTTCTGTAATTGACTTCCAGTGTGTTATGAATTACATTGTTTTCCAAATGTGCAGTAGATGTTTTTTTACAGACTTGCCTACTGACTGTCCAGGTGCGGGTCGTTGTCAACAAGGGTGACCCACACCCTCCAGTCCATTAAGAACACAGTACTTCACTCGAGTTAAGAATACAGTTCATCCTTCACTCAAGAACGTAAGAAAGGGAGAGCACTACAGCAGGCCTACTGGTCCATACTTGGCAGCTGATTATCAAACCCAAACCCACTAACACAAATATTCGCCCAACCCATTATCACTGTTACCAAGGAATAAGCTTTGTTAACCTTATTAACTCAAGTATAAATCCCACTCAGATCCGACCCCGTCTCACTCATGTATTTATCGAACCTATATTTGAAGCAACCCAAGGTTTTAGCTTCAATAACCTTACTAGGTAGACTGTTCCACCCTTCGACTACTCTATTTCCAAACCAATACTTTCCCATATCCTTTCTAAATCTAAATTTATCCAGTTTGAATTCATTACTTACTTCCCTCACTCTTCACAGTACCGCCGCTGGGAGTGAAGCTGCGGGCTCCTGGCCCCTGGGTTCCTGCCGACCAGCCCACCTTCTTCACCTGTCATGTAGAGGGCGCCTTCCCCCGACCCATAGTGCAGTGGTGGCTGGGCGCCCACCTCCTCCCTCCCACACCCCCTCCGGTAAGTGTCTGACGTTCCCGTCTCTCATACATAATACACTCATGATTCAATATTGTACAACATGTCATGGCATGTCAGACCAAAGATGGTGGTAGGGGAGGTAACGCTACTAACACTACCACAATTCACGCTAATGGCAGACCAAAGATGGTGGTAGGGGGAGAAACAGTACCACCAGTACCACTATTCACGCTACTAGCAGACCAAAGATAATTGTAGGGAAAGTAACAGTACCAACACTACCACTATCCATTCTACTAGCAGGCCAAAGATAGTTTTAGGGGAAGTAACAGTACCAACACTACCACTATTCACGCTACTAGCAGACCCAAGATAGTGGTAGGCGAGGTCACACTACTAACATTACCACCTCTCTCACCCATGGCAGACCAGAGAGGGTGTATGGGCTGTGGTCAGCAGGCTGGAGTGGAGCCCACGGTCTGACGACCATCGTAAGCAGCTTCTGTGTAAAGCATTCAGTCCTAACCTACCCAAGGCTTCCTTACACGACCAACTCATTCTCAACGTCCACTGTAAGCACTCCAGACACCCCTATTAATTAACCTGTACGTAATTAAATATGTATAATTAACCATCTGTTAACATATATGCATGTGAGTCTGTGTTCACAGACCACCTAACAACACAAATTTATCTACCATAGTTAACTAAGCTGTTCTTCACCTTCCCCTGGCTCAGTTGTGCCACTGGCTCGGGTGAGCATGAAAGCAGGTGAAGGTGGCAACGTCACCGTGCGAGAGGGCCACTCTGTCACCTTGATCTGTCACCTGAGAGCTAACCCACCTGTCTACAACGTCACCTGGTTCCATAACGTAAGTCCAGGGGAGGCTACCTGTTTACCTGGGTCAGTGCCGGAGGTCTAGGAGTGTCTAGGGGAGTCTAGGATGGCTTAGGACAGTCTAGGAGGGTCCAGGGGAGAAATTAGTAATATATATATATATATAATATATATATATATATATATATATATATATATTATATATATATATATATATATATATATATTACTAAGAGAGAGAGGGAGAGAGAGATTATACTGTACAGTTCTGGTCACCGTATTACAGAATGGATATAAATGCTCTGGAAAACGTACAGAGGAGGATGACAAAGATGATCCCATGTATCAGAAATCTTCCTATGAAGGACCAGACTGAAGAAAAAAAAATGATAAGAAAAGCCTGAATCTGCACTCTCTCTGAGACAGGCGTAGAATTAGGGGGGATATGATTGGGTGTTCTAAATGGAAAACCAGGAATAAATAAAGGGGGATGTAAATTGTGTGCTAAAAATATCTAGCCAAGGACGGGGACTCGCAGCATTGCTTTAAGATTGGAAAATTTCAGATTTCAAGAAGGGATAAGGAAAGCACTGGTTGGTAATTGAGTTGTGGATGAGTGGAACAAACTCCCGGTAGTAAAGTCATAGAAGTAAGACGTTGTGTGGTCTTAAAAAATAGGTTAGATAAATACTTGAGTGGGTGTGGGTGGGTGTGAGTTGGGACATGGACAGCTTGTGCTACTAGGTAGATGACGTGCTCTTTCTTAAGGGATGTGACCTGAAGTGACTAGGTTAGGGCGTTGGCTTAGCTAGTTAGGAGTATTGATCTGCTCGCATCGGGCAGTGGCCTGTTGCAGTGTTCTTTTTTTATTCTTGTGTGTGTGTATGTGTGTGTGTGTTTTGTGTGTGTGTGTGTGTGCGATTGTGTGCGTAGTTATGTTGTGTGTGTGTGTGTGTGTCTGTGTGTGTGTGTGTGTGTGTGTGTGTGTGTGTGTGCGTGTCGTATGTGTGTGTATTTGTGTGCGTGTGTAGTGTGTGTGTGTGTGGTGTGTTGTGTGTGTGTGTGTGGTGTGTGTGTGTGTGTGTGTGTGTGTGTGCTGTGTGTATGTGTGTGTATTTGTGTGCGTGTGTGTGTGTTGTGTGCGTGTGTGTTGTGTGTGTGGTGTGTGTGTGTGTGTGTGTGCGTTGTGTGTGTGTGTGTGTGTGGGTGTGTGTGTGTGTGTGTGTGTGTGTCGTGTGTGTGTGAGTGTGTGTGTGTGTGAGTGTGTGTGGTGTGTGAGTGTGTGTGTGTTTGTGAGTGTGTGTGGTGTGTGATATTCAATTTACTGTATTCCTGTTAAATATATTAATAACTGTTGTAATCTATTATAGGCTGCTTATACTTACAGAGGGTATACTGTATGCCGCTTGGTGTCAGTCAGGTCGAGCAGTACGTGGACGTGTGATGCCAGAGATGGAGGTCATGAAATACCCTGTGGTGCGGTGTGAGAGCATGAGATGAGAGGGACTGTTCTCCGGGCGGGACTGGCATATCAGGAGGTGTGAGGGCATCAGTACGCAATCACCTGATAGGTGGGTGGGGGAGGGGGAGGTGGAGGTAGGGGTGGGGGGGGGGGGTAGGGGGGTGGTGGGGGGGGGTGGGGGGGTCGTTGTTGTTGTGGTGGATTTTGGGGGGCTGGCTGGGGGATGATTGCTGAGGTGGGAGGGTCGTGCGGGTTGGTACAGTTGATTAGAAGGGTCTTTCGTTCGGTACTACTGAGTGTTTAAGGTTATAATGAAGTAATAGCAGGATATATATGGGTTATGGTTATGTATGCGTTATCATGGTTCATATGTGCTGTTCGTGGTTACTTATGAGTTATCAATTGTTTCTATGTGTGTTATGGTTATTCTGTGTTATAAATGGTTATATATGGGTAATGGTTATATATGAGTTATAATTGGTTATCTATGGGTTATTGTTATATATGGGTTATTGTTATCTAAGAGTTATAATAGGTTTTGAATATATGGGGGTCTGGCTTATGTAATGAGTTTATAATGGTGATAATGTGTGATTGTTGTTCTTTATGAGTTATATTGGTTTATATGTATGTTATGTTTATTTCTGAGTTACTAAATGGTTATAATTATGGGTTATGGTTATATATGAGTTTAATAGGTTATATATGGGTTATGGTTCTAGATGAGAGATAATGGTTATATATGAAGTTATGGTGTATATATGAGTCTATGGTTATATATGAGTTATGGTTGTATATTAGTTATGGTTGTAATATTTAGATAACACAGAGGGTAGCGGCTGTGATATCATCTATTCTAGTTATGGTTAATATATGTGTTTCTCTGGTTTTTTATATTAATTAGTTTATGGTTTATATGTTGTTTTATGGTTAATATATTGAGTTATGGTTTTTTTATCATGTTATAGTTACCGTTTATAATATTAGTTGTGGTTTATATTTAGTATACTTTGTTTATTTATGAGTTATAGGTTATATATTAGCTTATGGTTCATATATTAGTTATGGTTTATCTTTAGATTATGGTATTTATGGAGTTATGGTTATAATATCTAGTTATGGTTATATATTAGTTATAGTTATAATATTAGTATGGTTATTGTGTTATGGTTATATATTGTTATGGTTATATAATCTAGTTATGGTTATATGTTTTAGTTATGGGTTATTTTTACTGCGTTAAGGTTTTAGTAGTATTTTAGTTATGGTAGATGTATTAGTTATGAGTTATATATTAGTTTATGGGTTATTTATGGTTATTGGTTATATATTAGTTATGGTTTTTTTCTTTTTTTTTTTTTTTTTTTTTTTGTTTTGTTTTTGATATGTAGGATTTTATGGTTATATACTTAGTTTTATGGTTATATCTGTTAGTTTGAAATGGTTTAATTTATGAGGTATGGTTATATTTACGTTAAGGTTATTATTGTAGTTATGGTATTATATTAGTTATGCGACTTTATATTAGTTATGGTTTATATATTAGTTATGGTTTCATAGTATTAGTTATGGTTACTATATTTTATGTTTTGGGTTATATATTAGTTATGGTTATATATTTGCTTTATTGCGGTTAATATATTAGTTTATAGGTTATATATTAGTTATGCTGTTATATATTATTATGGTTTATATATTTAGTTATGGTTATATATTCAGAGTTATGTGGTTTATCATATTTAGTTATGGTTATAGATATTTAGTTATGGTTATATATTCGTTATGGTTATATATATAGTTTTATGGTTATATACATTAGTTAATGGTTATAGAGTAGGTAATGGTTATAATATTAGTCTTGGTTTATATATTAAGTTATGGTTTATATATTTAGTTATGGTTTATATTAGTTTGGTTATATATCGTAAGTTTTATGGTTTATATATTTAGTTTTTTGCGTTATATATTAGTTATGGTTTATATGAGTTATGGTTAATTTAGTTAAGGTTCTATATATTTAGTTATGGTTATATATTAGTTATCGGCTTTAAGATTCAGTTATGGTTATATATTAGATATGGTTTTCATATATGTTGTTTCTGGTTCTAGATTATTAGTTATGTGTTTCTCATGAGTTTATGGTTAATATATTGTTTTGTAGGTATATATCTTAGTTATTCTGTGTTATATTGGCAGTTAAGGTTACTATATTAGTTTTGGTTAATATATTAGTTAGCTGGTCTATATGAGTCATATGGTTATAATAATAGTTATCGGTTAATATATTAGTTTTTGGTTATCATATTAGTATTATGGTTATTATGAGTTATGGGATTTATATGAGCTATGGTTATATTATTAGTTTTGGTTTATATCATTATGTCTCTTTTGGTTAATATTATTAGTTATGGTTATATGGTTATGGTTATATACATTAGTTTATGGTTATATATTTTAGTTTTGGTTATATAATTAGGTTATGGTTATTTTAGTATGGTTATATATTAGTTAATGGTTATATATTAGTTTATGGGTTATATATTAGTTATGGTTTTATATGAGTCTATGTTATTATTAGTTTAATTTGGTTATATATTTAGTTTTGGTTATATACTTAGTTCATGTCTTATATGAGTTATGGTATATATATTAGTTATGGTTATATATTAGTTTCTTGGTTATATATTTACTTTAATTTTTGTATGGTTATATGGAAGTTATGGTTATATATTAAGTTATGGTTATAGAATTGAGTTATGGTTATATATCTTAGTTATGGTAATATATTAGTATGGTATATATATTAGTCTTTTGGTTATATATTTAGTTTTGGTTTAGATATATTACGTTATGGTTATATGAGTTATGAGTCTATACTGAGTTTATGGTTTAATATTATTTAGTTATGGTTATCTATATAGTGCATGGTTATATATTAGTATTATGGTATATATATTAGTTATGGTCTGATATATTAAGGTTGGTTATATATTAGGTTTATGGTTTTCTATATTAGTTATGGTTATATATTAGGTTTTTGGTTATATATTAGTTTTTATGGGTTATAGGCAGTTATGGTATATATGAAGTTATGGAGTTTATATATTAGTTATGGTTATATATTAGTTATGGTTATATATTTAGTTATGGTTATATATTTGTTATCGGTTAATTTATGAGATTATGGTTATATATTTTAGTTTATGTTTATATATTAGTTATGGTTATATATTGTTTTTGTTTATATAGGTTAGTTTTATGGTTAATATATAGTTTTCTGGATTATATATTAGTTTCTGGTTATATATTAGTTATGGTTATATATTTAGTTTAGGGTTAAATATTAGTTATGGGTTATAATTAGTTTGGTTATATATTGAGTTATGGTTAATTGAGTTTTGATGGTATCTCTATATTAGTTATCCGGTTAATATATTCAGTATTTGGTTATCATATTAGTTTTATGGTTATATGAGTTAGATGGTTATAGATTAGTATGGTTATTAATCTATCTAGTTATGTTTTAAATATTAGTTATGGTTTTATATATTAGTTATGGTTTATATATTTAGTTATCGAGTGTGTATATATTAGCTTTTGCGTTATATATTATAGTTAGGGTTTATATTATTAGTGTATGGTTATTATATTTAGTTTATGTTAGATATTAGTTATGGGTTAAGTATGTATGAGTTATGGTTAGATATTTTAGTTATGGTGATTTTATTAGTCTATGGGTTTAATAATATGTGGATAACGGTACCTCGGAGTGGAGTAGGAACGGATAGGGAAATCGAGTTATTCATCATCGATCTTCTAGGTAATACATTGGATTACTTTATGCAGCTACTTTAGAATTGCTGTTGTACTATGTAGTCTTAATCGCGTTCAGCTTAAAATAATATTGTCCACGTCAATGCGTTTATATCTATAACAGAATATAATCATGGTTCTATTCCATGCGAAATTCTCTCTTAGGCATCCCTCCTATGGTTTATAGCCGACGCTATTCTCTTACCGCAAGCATTAATGACGTTCTATAGTATACGTAGCATGTTGGTTTAATACATAGTCTATTTATGGTAAACTATTCAATCGACGGACGTCTACGGTTATATATTTTTAGCTCCTCTGGTTTCTACTCACTCACAAGTATACACTCCTTATCATCGTACGTTAACCTTTTCGCACCCCCGCTAACAACACATATCTAATATCATATAACACACAACTGAATAACATACAAACCACACACTACACAATATACAAACTAGCTAAAATCTCTTAACACCACACTAACATTAACACACAAACTAACACTAACACACAACTAACAATTAATACACAACTAACATTAACACAACAACTAACATTAACAACACAACTAAAAATTAAACACACAACTAACCATTAAACAAACACCTAACATTAACACAGAAAACATTAACACACAAACTCTAACATTTAACACACAAACTACATATAACACACAAACTCTAAATTAACACACAACTAACATTAACAAACTGCCTAACATTAACACCAACTAAATTAACACCACAACTAACATTAACAGACAAATAACATTTAAACAGATAACATTAACACACAGCTAAACTCATTAAAAACCATAACTAAACATTAACAACAACTAACATTAACACACAACTAACATTAACACAAAACTAACATAAAACACAACTAACCACTAACAATAATAACATTACCCAAAAGCTAACATTAACACACTAGAAACTGCATTAAACACACAACGAACATTAACACACCAACTACATTAACACAAAACTAATACCTTAACACACAACTAACATTACACCCACACAACTAACATTAACACACAACTAACCAACCATTAACACAGCAGCATACCGAAAACATACTAAACCTAATTTCACACAGATATACGTTAGTACCTGAAAGAGAGAAAGGGAGTTTTCTGCCGAATAAGCAGAGTAAAAAAAATTTTATGCGGTAAATCGGCGAAAAATCATTCTGAACGAAGTC